AAGCTGAGGATTTCAGACAGCCACCAAACTCGATGCATCCTTTATCTGAAACAGAGAAACAAAACAGAGTTATCCAAACACATAGAATCCAAACAAACCAGAGCCCATTAAAACCTCCTCCAAGGCTGGTCTCCCACCAGGCATTTTGACTGTTTGGTTGGTTAGTTTTTAAGGATTCAGTGCAAATTATCATTACGCTTTTTAATAGAACACTGGTAAGGTCATCACTAGCAAACAGAGGCAAGTTTTGCCCTTATAAAAGGAGTGTCAGTAAAATCAACGCTCTTCTCTCTTCAGTACTTCAGATTTGACAGATGCCAACAACATTAATTAACACTTGAGACTCATTTTGTTACTGTAATTTGCTTTGTTCCTCTCATACAAATTGCTTCCAAGCTGCTCTTCCTTTCCACCCTCAAACAGCTACACAAAGCCTCAAGAACACATTTGTCTCTGCTTTGCTGGAGTACTCGGAGGCACAGAGGTTTGGCTCAAAGAACAAAAGACAATGCCTGTCCTAAGGATATTAGAAAACAAGGAGCAGATTTAGTTCCCCCCATTTTATATGAAGCTGTACTTTGAACATTTGCTTGCTAAAACAGAAAGATAGCGAAGTCCATCTCTAGGCAAGGACTTGTAGCCTATGCTTGTGTAAGTACCAAAGTAAAACATCACTATTTCATGAGACTGTTTAGTATGCATTGAGCTTACAGACATTCTAATACACTTTCATGCAGTTTCCTCCAGCAAACCACTATTTTTGGGGGGGGAGGGGGGGGAATAAAAATCACTCAAATTATTCTTGTAAATACCTGACCCTTTCTCCTCTATGTTATTAAATGGTGGTAGGGATTAAATGTGCACTGAGACACTAGTTTGCACGCTCATAATGCTCAAACAAAATACACTGAACACTTACGACTCACAAACCAAACAGCTTGTAAGAATAATTTATTCTCTACTGCTTGAATTCACTTAGAGCATGGACAAGAAGGGAAGTTTTAGGGGGTTTAATGGAAAGTTTTCTCATGGAATGTGTTGACATTGAAACTTCAGCAGATGGAACTTGACTTAAGTTGAAATGTGTGCTCTCTGTGTGTGTGCACAACCGTGTACCTCATACAAGGATTACAAAGAACATGAACCATCTCAAAGTCTAAGCAGAGTACCAGAGATCCAACCCTTTCTTAGTAGGATGCTGCAATATGAGCCAAGAAATTTACCTCTACTGCTACCATGGTCTCACCACTGCTCAGTAAAGGTGAATAATCACTTCCCTCAACTCGCTGACAGCACCTTAATGCCTATAAAAGTAGCCTCCTCCCAAAATGCAGCTGAAGCACAAGCAGTACTTTGCAAATTCTTAATAGCATTCCTGTTCTGCTTTTCAAAGCACTCATACTTGAACTGATGATGGTGAAATGAAGTTACAAATAACATTCACTTACCTTCTTGGAACAGTACCAGATACCTAATTATTTTTCTATCTTTTCTATTTTCTATTCCCCATAGGAATCTAATAGCTGTGGATACAGATGAGATGAGATACAGGTTCAGGCAAGTATGGCAAGATTTGATTTTCATTAGCACTGAGACAATTCCACCTTCCTAGACTTTCATGTGGGTGGTGGACACTTAGCTACTCCATAAATCAGAAGGGCATTTCTCAGTTCCTTAAGCTCTTTTAGTGCAGTTTTTTTTTCTTCAGGCTCTTGAGAAGGATGTTAAATACATAGCCAAGTAGCACTGAAATATTCTAGTGTCATAACTTCCTGATATACGACTTGCCAGTAGTGCACCATGCAGGCATTCATCAAAGATGTGGTATGTTGCACTTGCTTCCCTACGTGAAGTGAACTTTCAATCAGATTTGCAAGCACAGGTTCTTTTGTCCTAAACTACAGCAAAATCTGGCTTTTCAACTTTAAAACTAACATTTATTTTTGCCTACGTGAACATATTGTTCCAAACTGGCAAGAGCTGCTCATTTACATCTTTTAACACCAACAGAATGCTAAGCTATAGTAAACAGTCTTTATTACAAACCAGAGCATGCTGTTAATTAGAAAGAGAGACCCTCAGTGCTCTGCAAGCCTGAGTGGGATGAACCACAGATTTCTGTGAAGAGGATGAATTACAATTGCATCCTGTCAGAGCACCTCTGAGCAAACAGCTCTGCGGCGAGAGCTCTGAAGCCTAATTTTGGCCTCAAAGCATTTGGGAGTAGGGTGGAGGGGGTTTAGAGCAAGCTGTTATTTGAAATAAATAGCTCTGAAAGTGCTTATAGCTCCTCAAAGTACAATATCTTGGGGCCAAATCCTCCTGTCCTGAGTGGCAGCAGAAATAGGCAAAAAGCAGAGCGGCCTTGCTCCTCATCAGTTAACCGTAACGTGAGATCTGGAACAGGGAAGACCAGCTCCTTGCCTTCTCCAGAGCAGCTCTTGACTTCAGAAGTGCTCAGATGAATAAGTTTGTTCGGACTTGTCACACACAGCATGTACCAAAACCAAATGATTTGGATGTATTTGAAAGTCTACCAGAATTACGAAAGAGTAAGGGTTTTAATTCTAGGTTACAGCTTCCTGCCTTTAGGAGAGCTCACCTCTTCAATAACTGTGCCCTTTCTCACCCAGGTCATTTTGCCAGGTTCCAGATCTACAGCCAGTGAGGACATCTCTTGAACTCCAGTGTAACGAGGACAAAAAACCCAAATCCAAACCCCCTTCAGACAAGGCAAGCCTGAGAGCAAGTATTGAAGAAGAGGGGAAAATAACTCCCCTGCGTTAACCTGAGAGCTACTGTGTCAACTGATTTTGTTAATGCCTGACATCAGCAAAACCAAGCTACCCCTCAGTAAGAAAATACACCTTTGATTTCACTCTATGAGGAGTAGTTGAGGGAAGAAGAAACCTCTCCGTGAAGAAACCCCCTAAGGTATAAGCTACACTTGTTGCAGTGCTTGTTTTCCTTTCACGCCTGTGGATAAGCCCTACCATCACAATGTTACTGGAAAATTGATTTTCTCTGGTTATCTCTTCAAGAAAAAGAGCCCCAAACTGCAGCCAGCTGACAGCAGCCTTCCCTGCCCCATGACAGAGACACCATCACGTATTTGACTTGCACAACTTCGGATATAGATGACCTGCACTCCAAACTCTGTGAAACCCACTGCCCTCCTTGGCTCCATCAGCCAGTAAAGCCTCTGAGCCCCATCTATGCCTAGGGATCCTGAGGAGAAACCTGCTTCCCGGATGCCACAGGTGACAAGGCATCTTTAGTTCTTGCTTCTTCAGAAATCCTGACCCAGGGAGAACAACCACTGCATCCCAATGAGGCCCAAGTTCAAAGAAGTCCCTCTACCTGCACTTCTGGCCTCACCAGACTATGAAAGCTTTGCTAACCTGAACACCACAACAGACACTGAAACCACGCAGCTAGAGGGGTCCCTCTCATCCACCATTGCACTGGTAATAGTGCTGGTTATCATCTTCTCTTTGTTAACAACATCCCTAGTAACCTACTGCTTTCACAAGTGGAAACTGAGAGGTAAAAGACTCCAGAAAGCACAAGAGGAGTATCAGAAAGACCAAGAAAAGAGCATTTTTCAAAGCACATCTGGACTTGTTTCATAAAAAGACTCCAAAGGATCCACCATGAAATGCTCTTGCATTACCTGAACATGGAAATAATAAAAGAATGGCAACTGTGACATTTCTAAGCAAACCTATCCCTGTTTTATCTCATTTATAAGAGTTGTTGGCAGTTTGGAGATTTCCTACAGCTTTATTATACATATATATATATTTATATAGTCTCATTTGTGCAAAGTAAACCCAAGGCAATCATGTATTTTTGATCTCTGTTGTATTACTAAACCAGTGCATTTAGAAGTGTTGCTCACACTCTTTCAGAAACCCACTGGCCTGTGGAAGGCAGAAGGTCAGGTCTGGTTACTGCAAAGCAACACAGCAGCTCAGTAAAGCTCAGTGGAGTTGTGTTGTTTTGCACCGATCTAATCATCTGGCTGAAGACCGTGAAATCCAATCGGAGCCTTAAAGTAAATCAGGGTCACAGACACTCAGCAGTAGCAGCCTGGTCCTGAAAGCTCCCAGCTGAAGAGCCTTCCACTTCTTCAGCAGCAGCTCCATGCAGAGGGCATGCAGGACCCAGCCCTATGTGCATTTGCAGGTGGTAAGTCAGTATTTCCTTCAGGTGAGGTTCAGTGACATGGGGTGGTAGTGGCATCCCAACTGCAAGTGGATTAAAGACCTCCAGTGTTCCTGAAACCCAATTTACCAACTTAATACCCTTTTTAAACTAGGCTTGTACTTCTTTTTAAACCAACCATACAATGGTGTGTTTTTATTTTCACAGCCTGTAATATGTCATGGGGAAATGGCAGCTCTGTTGTGAGTAGCATCTCTAAGTCACATTTTCTAACAAAGTGATGGATGTAATATTAATATACTTCATTGTTTTAAAAAGTAGGAACCATGTAGAATTACAAGCCCTGCTCAAGTAGCTAGCTTGCCTGCACTTGCCAGTAATGCTGTATGTATTTTTAAACAAGCTATAATACTGTGATGCTGTAAACTTACTTCTGTAGGCAAAAAATGTTCTAGTTAAAAATGTCAAGATGAAGGATGTAAATGTTCTTAAAGTAACTAAAGAGATGAATTTTCACAGAAGATTCTAAAAGATTCTGTTACATGCTACAGATCTATTTTACAAACCTATTTATGGATCATACACACTAGTCTATGTGAGAACAAACAGTACTATTTTATTACAAAATAAATGAATAAATAAGCAGTGAATATCCACGCCCAGAAGCTGGAAAATGTTTCTTTTTTAAGGTACCCTAGTCAATTCTATAAGTAATTTGAAAGACAAAGGCTTCAGTACCTTACTGACAGAAGGTATACGCTCCCCTTCACTTCCCAGCCTCCCCCCATACAGATCATGCTGCTGTCAGTGCAAAGATGCACAGAACCCTTGTGGAGGGAAGGGGAGCAGTTAGCTAGCTGCATCAAAGCAATGCAACTGTAGTATTTGTAACATTAATGTATGTATTTACAGAATTAAACCACATTAAGCACGGTGGCATTCAGAAGACCAACCCTGTTGCAGGCAGTGACAATCTGCATGTAGCGTTTACATTAGCTCTCACTGAGTAGAGACAATACAAAGTCCTTCTCTGAAAATCATACTGAATGGTGATAAAAGTCTCAGGTGGAAGAAGGCAAGTATGTTTCAAATGCTTTAAAAATACATAGCTGGAAGTACTCCAGCTCTTGCTGGAGTGTGTGTGCAGGATTTGCAATAACTGAAAGCTACAATTCAGATTCTCATTGAAGAAGAATCTGGGCATCACCAATTTTCCAGAGAACACGATCCCTTCCAGCAGCAAACCCTTGTCCTCAGTGCACCAGCTCAGGAGTTTTGTCAGGCTCCCAGTACGAATAAGTGAGCTCAGCTCCAATCCTTGGAAGCTGATCAAACCAGCTATGCTAAAAAAAATAGAACACTAAAGTGACTCTTACAAATGACAAATACAAAGCCCCGTGGCCCAACAGATGGTTAGAAACAAGGCTGAGGAATGACTGAGCCTGGAATCAGGCTGGGTTTTTTTATAGAGAAAGCGAGGGCAGATGAATGTGGAAATTACATTGCTGCTGTCCTCAGGAAACTGATCTGAATGATAATCTGAGGAATATAGATTTATCCAAAGAGTCAGTTATGAACTATAATATCGCATACACCTAAACCAAGATATATACGATAAACCCTTCTGCATTCATACAAAGTTCAGAGCAATGAACCCTACCACATCACAAATCATTGAGAAGATTAAATAACGCAACCATGTGCTGCACAAAGCTAGAAAGCAAAGCTCCAAAGTACTTTTAATGGGCAGATTGATTTGTTTCAGTCCTAGGGCTGCTTACCACATGAATCAGCCCTGATCCACCTCACTCCTTTTATGCCCCAGTAAGCAGAAACAAAGGAGCCCATGAATCAATATTTCTTGATCATAGTTTTAGAGTGTTTCTCTGGATCAAAAGAAAAGCCTACTGCTGAGGAACGTGGGAGGGGGCAGCTCCTGTGAGGGGAAAAGGAAGAGACACGATCCACTGTTTGGTTTTGCTTCTCCTGCATCCTCCATGGCAGAATTTTGGGATCTCAAAGCTCAGCCACTGCAGGAATGTGCAATAAATAGAGAGACTTGGATTATTCATTCCATTGTACATCCCTAATAGCTGCTACAAGAAAGCAGAAGGCAAACACTCAGATCTCACAGACATTTTTGATAAGAAAAATGAGAACTGTAGTAAGCAGTAGGAAAACACATGCAAAAGACAGGAGCAAAACACTTTGATTTTTCAAAGGTGCTATCTGAATTCTTTGTAACATTTATGCAAACAGGAGCCACACAGCTGCTGAACTGCAAGCAGGAATGCTATTTTACAGACAAACATTGTCAGGTGCCTACCCCAAACAGCTCACAGTTCAGTGTATTTACATAAAAGCTTGACAAGAGTTGCAAAGAAGTATTTCAGTGTATCCAGAAAGCATCTCTGTACTGAAAGCAGAAAAATCAATGTGCTATCTTTTACTTATGGGAATAATTAATCTGTTTTTAGAGTCCTGGAAGTCACTTTCTGTGGTTGTTGTAAGGGCTGAAAGCTGCACTCACTGCCAAAAACAACAAAATCACAGTTACAACGGATTTGACTCCTGATCATTACTTGTGTACCTGACAGCCTCTATGAGACTTCCCATGAATAACAGGTATCCTTTGCCCAGTGTTGGGCTGATTGCTGGAGGCTTTGAAAGACTTGAGAGAAACAGCAAGTACAGCCCAAAGTAAGGAAGAAGGATGAAGTAGCTCAAAAGAACAGGTTTGTAAGATTGGAAGGTAGGAAATTTAAAGGATTTAAACATTTCTAAGGATTACAGAGTAATGGGAAGAGACGGTAGCTATGGATTCTGCAGTGACAATTCCAAAGTTAAGACCAAGTTTAGGGAAATATTTTTGATGGAATACTAAACCTGCTGCTTGCAAGAAACCAGACTGAGCTGCCCATGAAGCTGTAAGGACAGCTAGCCCTGAACAGCTTAGGGCTGTGTTATGTTTTCACTTGGGGCTTGACCTACTCAGGATCAACTCCCAGTGAAATCACTCAAGGCAGGTTTTTAAGCACCAAAAGGCAGATATTCACTGACACAGGTCAGCTTAGCTACCTCTATATCCAAGCCTTTTTTTCCAGGTATTCTATTGATCTCTGAGAAGTGAAAACAAGAGGCTAAACAGCCCTCAAGCACTCTTAATATATAGCACACAGAAGAAAATAACTACATAGGTACAAAAATATAAAACCAAATTCAACACTATACATTTGTCCCAAAATGGGGAAAAAAAATGCAACAATAAGACTTAATTCTATTTGTAACACAAATTCAGGAAGAGTTCATCAATAGGTTATTCCTCCAAGGTTCCCACAGCTTTCAGAGATCTAAACACACAGAAGTCAAGAAACTGGAGACTAAGGAAACAGTAACTTGATGACCCACATAGGCCCAACGGTCGCAGGGTCACTGCAAGAACAATGCAATGAGCTCTTCCTGTTAGCAGTGCTCACAAAGGTGGGCTGCACTCGTGCCCATAGAGCAGGAGACATCTGAAGCTCTGGAGAAGCTGACTTCATTGTCTAGCCCACTGAGATCATTAGACCATTTTATTTGGATGTGTGCTATACACCAATCCTTCATCCAGCTATATTTTTGAGAAGACAGTGACTTTGCCATCATGAAAACAAATCACAAAGGATTACAATAAATTTCAAAGTGTATTAAAAAAAAGTCAAAAATATTATTTGGCATCTCAATCCCCCTTGAATTTGTTATTCATTCCCATTTTAATCTGTTTTTTTCCCATCTTAAACACCTATGTTACATTAGGTCCCATGATTCATTTATTATCATTTCTTGTCCTGTTGGCATCCACAGACTCCCTGATCAATTTCTGTTATAGTCTCATTATTTGAGTTCTATAAATAGGATATTTCATTTTACTCCTTTCTGTGGTCACTTTGCAACCTTCTTTCCCTCCTCCACCTGCGGCTCTGCATTTACCATGAGACAGTGGGCAAAGATTGAGTTGAGATTCAGTAATTACACCTCCCTACCCTGGAAAAGGGAATCATTTATTTTTCTTATGGATGGAAGCAGCTGTGAGCTGCTCTGAAATCCCACAAGCAATCCCACAAAAAACAATCCTTACTACTTGTCAGCTTAATAATAGAAAGTGTTGGCTCCCATCATGTGAAAAATGTATATAGCTGGATAACAATATATTGCAACATTTGCATTTGGATGAATAAAGAGCTGAATCACAACCCAGACACCAGCATGCTGGGCACAGCGGGTTCCACCTGCAGGAATATTAAAGCATCACCCAATTCATCACTGACAAAACATGTCATATCCACAGCCCTTGGCATTCAGATGGGACTGCCCCCAGAAAACTCCCCCCATTCTCTATGTCCCTGAGTTATGTTCACTGCTTTCAGGCCTGAGTATTTCCTTACCTTTCAGCCTCTGCCTTAGGTTCCTGGGATCCTCTGAAGGTTTGGGCAAGCTTCCGAGTGCTTCTCCTAGAAGCGTAAGCGTATCCTGAAATAAAAAGGAAACACGGATTATTTGAGTTTGGAGTGAATGGAGTCACAGTGGGCATTATTAAATAACAAAAAAACAAATTCCCACCCTGCTCACAAATACAGAGATGAATCTCAGGGCTTCAGGAAGCACTACTTATTCATTGCTTAGAAAAGACCTGCTTTCAATCTGACTCCCTTTCAAGAAAGGAGAGAAGAGTTTTTCCTGAAGGAAGATCATCCTGAGGAATAGCACCAGAAGACCCAAGGCATTCTACAAGTTGTAGCTTACCCTGCCTACCATCTGCTCCAGGGTTATTTCCTAAAAATAAAGCTGGACCCTTTGTGACAGTAGACACAGAGAAGGCAGTGCTTCCAAGAAGCAGTAACAGTCTATGTGAGAGGCCTTAGCCACCATAAAATGTTGCAGTGTCCTATCCTGAGACTTCTACACCAAAAGATGAATAAGAAAGTAGGAGCACAATCACCTATTGTCACATTATTTTGTTACTTATATTTTGTCTTGGACAGTCCATCAGAAAACAAGCTGTGAAGAAATAATCCAGACATACCCACAACAACTACGTAACATCCTGGGAAAGAACTTCAGCTAATACAAATAAGGAAGCTCAAATTACTTGGTCAGTATGTTAGTCCCAAGCATTTTATTAATGATACGGAGACAAATTCTATTTTGACTTGCACTGCATCTAGGTCAATCTGATCCCACTGCCCAAAGTCAGAGGGAAACCTGGCTTACGGATTTCTTTAGTTACTGTATGGGTAAGATAGTACCACAACTTTTCTTTAATAACATTTGCTTACTCTGAAGTAAATCTGTTCTTCCAGTTTCTCTTGGATTAAAGCACTTTCCATCAGGACCTTCTTTCTTCTGCAGAAGGTGATCTTGGCTAGCTCTGCCTCCTTCTCCTGACAGTCAGGGCACACCGAGGGATCGTGTATTTGAGCTTCTGTCACCTGAAAAATAAGGCTTGGATGCAATGAGCAAAGTTTGTCCTAGCAAAATATGACCACCCCATTAAGAACAAGCAATAAACATACAGATACAGTCTAAAGACAATGATTTGCTTTGACAGGCAGTTGTAAATTATTTTGTAATAAGTACTGATCCTACAGTACTACTTAATTCCTTGGTCAGTTTACCCACCACAAAGTCTTTAAGCATTACACAAATCCCAGCATCTGTGCATTTATGAAATAGCAATAATAGTCTCTTATGTAATTTACACAGATTCCACCTGGTTACATAAACCAAACAAGCTACTACAAAAGCAATGGAATCAATCCTGAAATGTCAAGTCCCAAACCTCTTCATCTTTTTCCTTGACGACCTCTCTGCATAAAAATGTTATTACGCTGAGGTAAAGCCAGAAACAAATAGACACAGCAGTCAGCTACTGCTCTTAGAAAATGTATTACCACACTGTAAGACAAATAAGAGGCAATAAAAATTCTACAAAATTCAGATGGTGGGTTGGTTACCATTAATACAGTGAAACAATGCAGATGGCTGAAGCATCAGAGCAATTTTAACAAAGAGGAAGCCTGAAAAACTGACTTTAAAAGTATCACTGCTGCTCACCTCGCACAGGCATTGCAGGGGAGTATGTTATCACTTTTGCTCTGCTATTACAATAAAGCCAGCAAGTGACATGGAAATAAACCAAAATAAATTACTGACTACTACTCAAAGCTCATTTTCTGCTTTACCAGAAATACTTGCCCAGATGCAGACATTCTGTACTAATCTCAAAGTACAGACATTTCCAAGGCCCAGATTCACAGGCAAAGGCATCTGTAGGTAACAGTCACTACTCAAATCTGTATCACCACATATTCAAATCCATCTGCAAGCACAAGGCAAGAATGCAAGTATCACTGGCCAAAAAAAGACTAGTCTTAAGGCTCTCAGATGCAGAGCTGAAAGGAAGAGCCATGTCAGAATGTCTGTTTTACAGGGGGGAAAAGGCACCAGGCTGGTGAAAAAGAAAAGCACTTTGAGCTGCGTAAAAATGACAGATGCTTCTTAATAAAGGAACTGATGTCACCAAGATCCTATTGGGCATGTTTTTCTTAACATGACCTCACGTCTAAGCTGGAAGCAGGGGGAGGCTTTGTTTTTGGAATACTTCTAATACTGGAGTCACAAGCAAACAACATGCAGAATACTTCCATAAATAACAGTTGCAAACATAACCATCAAAGCAGGCTGTTTTCTTCAGCTGATCCAGGGTTTACTGTGGACTGCAGTAACTGCCCACCCAGCCCGGCTCAACCCCACAAATCAGGACTTTATCATCAGACCGTGTTTTGTAATGATGGGTTGTTTACCAGCAACAGTTCTGCAGCAGTGTCAAATAAATGAGAAAGGTAAATCTTGAGAAACAGAGCAAAAATCTCTCAGAGGCCTGAGTGTGCCATAATAAGAGCTGCCTGATCTGATCCTTATATTACAGCTTTCTCAAGCAGTAGTTCTCCCAAAATCTATATTTTTTTCTTCCTTGCAGTACCTGTTTAACAGTCTCCCTGATATTTTTCAGGCGGATTCTGTTCATCAGCCCATCAGGAACAATGCAGCTCAAGTCACTTGTGTCTGGTTTCTTTGCTGTCAATCCCGTCTGCAGCCTTCTTGGCTTGTCACCATTTGTCTGCTTGGAGATCAGCTGCTTATGCATCCCATTTATCTTCTTAGTGCAAAAGGACCTGAGAGCATCCAGTTCTTCATCTGAGAGTTCGCTAATTTCTGTCAGGCATAAATCAACAAAACAAAAGCGTTAATCACTGTATTAAAGAGAAGAATTACTCGTCTTCTATCCGTGCAACCCAATAAAAACCCAAACCCAATGTTAAGCCTAGAGTCAACAACTGTAATAACAGCAGTACAAAGTTTAAATACAAACCTGGATGATAACTGTAGGAATAAACATCTGTATGAGTAGTTTTGCAAAGAAGGGAGGGGATAAGAACCCTGGAGAATTAGGCTACTTAATAATACATTAGTAAATGTATACATTAGTAAAGCAAGTACTTAAGTACTGTGACCTTAAACTGAGTTTCCATTACTGTCTAATACAGATTCAGCTTCTTCCTATATGAAACTGAAACTTGCTAAACCAAAATGATTTCACATTTAAAGAGAGCTACTCACCTAGTAACTCTGAGGAGCAACCCATAAGACACTGAAAAATTAGGGCAGCACCTATTGAAGTAACTTTGGAAAACACCTCAAATATATTCTACAACCTACAGTTAGGCTTTTTAAAAATTATATTAGAAAATACTTTCCTCTAAAGCTTCAATGATCATTTCCTGAACTCTTTCTAGGACCTTGTTTAAACAACATCTTTCACGTTCTCTTATCCTTCCCAGTGGCATGTAATTACAAATAGCTTATACTTCAGATGGGCAGGCAAGGATGGAATTACAGCTTCATTCAATGCTTAGAGGGAGATTTTCCACAGGCTTAAACACAGCCAATCAATAGGGTGTTTCATGAGCATCAGCCTGTAACAATGCTGTGTAGTACCACGCTGCCGTAAGATACCACTGCTTCCAGTTATATAAACAAGGAGAGTACCTCTCTACCTTTATTACACAGGTTTTGCTTTTATGCAACTGCTGAGGCCCAACTAAACACTTTAAGGTGTGTAATTAAAGGAGAAATGAGAAGACAAAACACTGCTGTAAGCATTACTAAAGTCTCATGAACACCCCTGCATGTAGCTAATGCCAACACAGCGTTCCCTTCTCAGGGCTCCACTCTAACAACCGAAAGAGTCAGCTTGTTTTCACTCAAAGTCTTCAGAAATGAATTATACTGCCCATTCAGCTGGAAAAGAATAGGAAAAAAGAATTTTCCACTGGAAAAATCAAAAACCCCTCCATTTCAGTGCTTTAATCCAGTTTTACTTTTTCTAGACAAACACTGCCTATTTCACTGTGTTATCCTGCAATCGGTGCATTGGCATTCCAGTCTTGTGGAGTACCCTGGCATAAACCACAACAAATCTTTAAAACACTGAACAACATGAATGTAGAACTTTGCCTAAATGCATTGCAATGAGTTTAGTCTCAAATACACAAGACAGAGCTGTGGAATCATGCAAGGAATCCAAGCATCTCTTCAGAAATGCAGTCAATCCCTATAAAGGATAAGGCGATCTCTAGTTAAGCCTAAGCAAAGCAGTAATCTTGCATATGGGCTCTGCTGAACATTTGTGACAGTTTAATACCAGCCTAATTCATTCACTTACGTTTCTTCTGGCATCCAGAAGCCCATTTAATTCAGAATTGGTTTCTAATAGTGCATGAATTGGGAGCTGCCATACACCCACCCACCTCCTCCATTTGCACCTACAGACTTGAGAAGAAACAGCAGCAAACAGAACAGCATTTTAAACCTGACTGCACAACCAATTTCAAAAGATTACTTGTTTAATATTAATTCATGCTTAATAGTAAATAAGCTCAATGAATAAAAACGATCAAGGATCAAGGACTGTCATTTTACTGGAACAAAAACAAACTGATGAGAATAGTCAGGACACAGTTAAAAGTTAGTCTGAGTGCACAACTGTTGACACTTTCAGATTTTCTCCTGGTTGTGTAAGGTTCCCCTGTCCTTCTGCTGAAGGAAAATTGGATCTCAGCACTTGCTGTGGTGCTTGGGATTATTTCTTGTGCTTTTCACATCTTCCCTCCTTTCCATCTCCAAACTAGACATGCTTGAACGCTCCATCTCCATTTGTGTGACAGACTTAAATGTCACTGCACGTCTGCCCACAGAGAACCCCTGTCAAGGTCAATTACTGTTCCAGAAGTAGATTTTGCTGCTGCTAGGTTGCCCCGCGTCCTGCATTCCCACATTCCCCGTGCTAGAGAGGAATAAGGCAGGAACAGGTGACCAGAGCAGCAAAACCAGACACCAGAATAGGGATCCAGTCAGAGCCATGTATCATACAGCAGTAAGGTCACAAAGCACAGAGTATGAGAAAGTGAAGAACAACAAACTGGACCAAGAAGCTGCTGTGATTAAAGCAGCACTCAGTGTGTACCAACAGAGATAAGCTCATTTCCATGTCTACGTTCTAAACCCTGCTGTGCAGTTTATAACTGACCTACATAGATTTTGCTTTCTGCATGCAACTACATCTTTAAACATAACATTTAAAATCTGTATGAGTGGAGGGAGAAAAGTAAAGAAAAGCTTAGCAGAGCTTCCTTTTCCTTTGATGTCTAACTGATTTAACAGGAAAATAGGCAGACACTTTATTGTTATTATGTGCTACCAGTACTCTATTTTAAGAAGAACAAAAATGTAAGAGTTAAAGGAGAGGTAATTATGAAAGGTGGGAACTGGTAACTATTCTTAGGAACATTTTAACTCTGCATTTCAGGAGGTACAATTGAGTGCAGCAGTTCAGATCAACACAGAGGCAGCACCTCCAGCAAACAGTGTTTGAAAGCCTCATGCAGGTAACACGCAACTGATACACCAGGCTATTTACTGGCTTTAAATTAATAATTGTAATAAAGTTCTTCCAGCATGGTGAAGGACACCCTCAGTTTCCACTACCATTAGTGAGACAAGAGAACAGCAAGAACTCTGCAGAATCCACATCTTTTGGAAAAAGAAACTCTTTCCCAGTTCCATAAAGACATTAATGAACTGGATTCACTTTCTTTACAAGCAGAGGTTTCCACTTAGATGTTTCTGGTTGGAATTCCCCCATGTAGCCTACATTAACATTATCCTACTACAGAATCATAACTGAAGTTTGGAGTCTCAGGGCCTAACTAGGTCTGCAGGAATCCCATAACCAGTACATGTTATCAAGTAGTAACCTTTGGTACTGAAAAACCTCAGGAATGGGAAAGCACCAGCACAGGTTGTTAGATACCTGCTCCCTTCACCAAACAGAGCAATAGGATGCTTTCTCTATGCTCATAAATAGACTACTACAACTTCCAATGAACACTTTCAATAAAGTATTACTACTACTACTATTTGGCAAGTCAATAATCAAACACTTGGACATAAGGAAATTTGTTCAGAGAGTGAATATGAAATAGATCAACTCTGAAATACGCTGAACAAGCTGGAAAAAAAACTGATGGAAAAAAATGCTTATACTTCCCTCTTCACACACATGCCAGCACCTTTCACCTTAACACCACAAACCACAGGTATTTATGTGCCTGTACCTCCACCGGCCTTTTTTACTTACAGATCTCCCAGCATCAACACTATTATCATACTAACAATAATGGCTTAATGGGTGATATTGACTGAATTGCATTTCAGCCAGAAAACTGTCTGATGCTGCTCAGGCCTTTCTGTGCCTCTAAGTAACATTAACAACTAAAGCACTCTCTCTTTTGCCAGCAATAGTGCAGTGGTAACACTGCAGAAAAATAAACAAGCAGTGTTTAATGCAGACAGATTACAAAGGTGAGAGCAAACCTCTGAACGCAGCGGAAGTCAGAGCATTAGAAAGCCCCACTTGGACTTTTACATACACCTGAAGAAATGCAGTTTCTTGCAGTAAAGGTGGCTGATGGTCTTTAGAATAATTTAAATGGAAACTGGGACTTAAGAGTCATTTTGTGATGCATTTATCTAATAACAGCTCGTTGCTACAACAGAGGTAGAGGGGCAGAGGAAGAGGAAGACAGAAAGAAAACTGTGACAAAACTTCTCACTTCCCTCAAGGCCAGCAGCCAGGGTTTTCCTCTTTCACCCCCCCCCAAGAAAACTACAACAAGTAAGAATATCATGCCAGGACATTCCCATACGCAAACCAGGAATCCCCCCCTTTAATCCTATCAGTAGTAAGATAATAAAAAAGCTCTATTTTATTACCTGAAGACAAATGCAGAAGTACCATGCATGCTCAGCACATACAATTCATTTTGCTGAGTTTACTGAGGGGAATAATGGTAAGCTCATTTTCTATTTTATTTAATAAAAAAATCTCCAATTTGATAACCTAACAAGAAGCTTAGGTGTTACCAAGTACTGAATGAAGTTCAAGAGCAGGAGGCATTTGTAGCTGTTAGTATCCAGAAGCTGCTGTGACAATTTTGTTTCTATATTAATATTCCACAACAAAAACAAGGTAGTACGTGGCTGAGTATGACTGATGCTGATGAGTTTAGGGATAACTTGTCAATCACATAAAAGAAGCATAAGTGTGAACCTTATTTTATGCTCTTAATGTTGACAATGGTTGGGAAAAGCGTGACAATGTACCTAAGAAGTGCTTAGCTGCCACAATGACAAGCAACAGGACAAGCAGACAGAAGACAACACAGCCCCTTATACATCAGCACAAGCTAATGAAACAGAGCTTGCTACTCAAGACCAACTGTTCTGACTCTCCTCACCCATCAAAGCCCATAAACCAAAGGAAGAACATTCCCTCATGCAGAACTACAAACATCTGAAATTAAGAGGAGACGATCTTCCCAATCTTCCCAACTGTTATCTTCCGAGGGAAAGCTCTGCAGAGACGGTTAACTTTCTCCACGTTATACCATCATTTATCACTCATTCAATGAGCTCATCAGGTCCTTTCCATTTCCCTATGAATCAAACAGTCTCAAGATTCTGATGTAATAATAATTTAGGAAGACTATACTGCAGAACAGATGTTCCACTCTATATTAACTGTCTTCTCACTTGACTACATGGCATTCTTGGAAATCCAGCAACAGAAAGATAAATGCTGAAGATGAGTCAGGAGCTCACACATTGACTCACCACTATTGTGAATGAGCCACACAATTAAGAATAGCCTAAAAATTATCTTAGGTCATGTTTTGCTATGATACATATGGATGGTTTGAGGATGCTTGTGGATAAATACAGTGCCATTAAGCACCTAGGCAGGAGGATCTCCCCAGTTCATCACTCCTACAGGTGACCTGCAACGCTTCAGAGTTCGATCACTTTTTATGTACATACAGACTGAGGAAGATTCCCCTCCTGCTTCAATTATTTTTGCTCAACTACAGCTTTCTTGCTCTTTTTAAATTCACTTTTTTCTTTCTCATCAGAAATAGTATCTCTGACCCATTTTTTAGAAAGACTTAAGCAGGACTTGCATCCCACCATCTGCTCTCACAGTTCCTTGCATAACCAGTACATGCAAACAGAATCCTTCCTTCCTCCTTTCCCCTCCTCCTCCAGCCACTACATCATTGTGTTGGGTAAAGCTGCTCCATTGCTCTTGCCAAAATTGGTGCCCTGCTGCCTCCCTCAGCTTGGGAAAGGAACTAAAACATGGCAAGGAAGTAATTCAATAATTAGCATCACTTATAATACAATTCTGTTTATTTTGGAGGGAAAAGACCCACAGTCCAACTACCTGAAAAGGAGAAAAGCTAAATAACCAAGTAAGATTTTTGAGGATTACAGTTGAACTTAAAATGTGGATACACTTTTAAATGTATTTATCCAGATCTTGTGATAATGCATCACTACAATGTCACCACTTCAGAGGCAAAGCCATGTGTGTGTTATGGGATACAAAGTGCTTCCTGAGAAAGCGTGAAAGAGAAACTTCATACTTAATTACGTAGCTAATGAAACCAGGCTGATTCCTGGCTCAACTTTAAGAGCTCGCACCAAAAAATTAAGTCTAGTTAAAAGTCTATACCCCCTTTCAAAAGGAGGAAGAATTACAACCTCTACTAAAGTTCCTGAACTCACCAGCATGAGTTTTGATGACCGATCTGTCTTGCTTAATGTCAGATTTTTTAGTTATTAGACCAATCCAGCGTCCCACGAGATCTCTTTCTGCAGCTGCAGAATCTGCTACTTCAGGCTGCTCATCTACAAGGAAAATGAGGTAGCTTTGAACATACATTGTAAAGAAAACAGGACTGCAGAAAAAGAAAAGTGGGAGGCAAATAATCCTCCACTTTAATGAGATAGATTTCCCTGGTGAGGGAACGGGAACTCCAAGCCACAGGACTATACAGGCAAGATCAGTGATCCTGGGGTGCTGAGAAAGCTGCTGTCACATGAAGTATTTCTTATCACCCCACTGAATGACAATATATGATACACTGAGAAAAACAGAGGCTACTGCTTAGAGCTTGTGACACAGACACTTTACCTGTAATGCCAACTTAACCTCAATCTACCTCCTCCCACATTCAGCCCATTACTTATTTTCAGCCCTGCACAGGCTCCTCCTGTGCAAGTACTCTTGGAAGTGCAGGTCAACTGTTTTGAGGAATGAATCCAGGTGAAAAATAACATGAGACAGGGAAAATAAAGAATCTCTGTCAGCTCCCTGTTCTCCAGCTTGTTCCAGTACAACTCCAGTTCCACAGAAACTGAAGAAATAGCAAAGATGTGAAACAGAATGGCTGGGAAAAGACTCAAGGGGTCTGAAAAGTCACCACCACGTCAGCAAGATGCACATGGCATGGTCCCAGTTCAAACTACTGAGCACACTATGGAAGTGCTTGACTTCTCCATTTTCAGGGTTTTCATCTCAAATTTAGTGGGCTTATACAAGGAAATAATGTGTCCATGACAGGTTTTCTGTAGCTTTTATTATTTATACATGCTGTTCGCAACAAGATATATTGCAGAAAGCATTCCATTTCCAAAAATATTCTCCTGGAATGATTCCCTAGTTTCTCATTTAACTGGTAGTATTCAGAAGACTCCATAATTTTACGAAGCATTAACCTTGTAAAGATAAAAAGTGGTAACTCTTATTAAAAAAGCTCTCTACACACACAGCTTGTACTCCTTGATGCCAGAAATAAGGATTTCTGTGTTAGACATGAAATAATTTAAAATAACATGTTACAACTCCAGAAAAAAAAGGATCATTAAAACACTTGTAAACCTTGGTTATTAAAACCTATTTGTAAACCCCAAAAATCTTAAGCAAAACTGTTAAATCTCTTAGACCCTTCAGTTACATCAATGTAACATGAACTGACACTAAGGTAATGATCATTTCTATTCAGATTTCTGAAGCTCTGATACCTAAATCTATACCCTGTGCTACACTATACATGGTTTATATTCATGTATGCACATCTGACGACAAATTCTCCCCACATTGTTGGGATTTCACACCTAAACCATATTTGAGAAGTACTCCTAATGATAATGGTGCAGTTATTACTGCAGAGTGAAAAAAGGCCACCCAAGTCAAATGTTGGATGGATGAGGGATATCTCTACTGGACTTGTGTACAGTTTTTACATTTTTTACTGATATGAATCTCAAGAGAGGTCTCAAGCATGGCAAGCTCTACATACCTGAATGGTTTCAGCCTGCCAACTATGACATGCTTTCCAACACACCTGACACAGCAGAGCCCTCCAAATCCTCTGTGGAACAATACGATTCAGGTGGGTCACTTTCTCTCTGCCAGTGGGCTTCCTCCTCCTCACTGAAGGACTCAAAGGTATCTTCTGAGTACTGCAAACCAGAGCTGCTATGGCTCCAGCTCAGTTCCATCTGTTGCTTTTTGTAGTCACCAGAGCTATCTGCTGGGGCAGTCAGCATGGTGCAGCACTGGAAATAAAACAGCATGTAGTAGGTTGTTATACAGGAGTGAGTGGGTTGCTTAAGGCACTGGGGAACATATGGACGGCTGTTAGAGCTCAGCCCACACCCAATTTAGCTGCCCCAACAGGTGAGTGAAATCTCTACTTCATCAGCACACAGGGTCAACACCCTTCAAAACATTACTGCTCATGGGAGTAGTGCGCAGTAAGATGTGCTGGGTAAGCACCCAGTAACAATTACCACTAAACACCAGCAACCAATTCTGAGCAGCATTCCTTTCTAATCTGTAGTGAATTACAGCAACATTTGGATACATTCATTCATTAAAGCAAAAAGTAATTGAAAAAAACTGTATTTTTTGCCTTTAGATAAGCCTCTCACCACTCAAAAAGCAAAACTTCTTGTTCTGCTTCAATTAGTCTAGAAAATTAAAAAGAAAACATAACAAGCACCAGCCAGTTGATGTTCTCAGATTAGTCACACCCCAGTGTGAAAAAGAGAAATAAAGTTCTCCAGATTCAAGCTCCAACAATAAAGCAAACCTCAGACACCTGTCATGTAACAGGCTGACTTTCAAGCTTTGCTCTTATTTACTTTACCTTTTTCTATTAGAAAGATGAAATACCCCTTCTTCCTTTGAATTTAAGGACCTAAATAACTTTATCCAGAATAATTCTGCTCCTATTTCTTACCTACTCTCATAAAGTAAGGCAAGTAAATGTCCAGAGGTTTCCTTTTTCGATTTGACAGTCCCCAGAATTAAAGAGTTGGTCTGATCTTCCATTAAATATTAATCAACACTAAGTGCACTTGCAGCCCAGAAAGCCAAACATATCCTGGGCTGTATCAAAAGGAGTGTGACCAGCAGGTCGAAGGAGGTGATTCCCTTCTCCAGGCTGAACCAACCCTATCACGGGTATAAACTTTCCAAAACTATTAAACACTTACTTTAGCTGACAAATTCGCTTTAGAAAACCCTGCCAGGACCCAGACCCTTAGCCTCTCACCACACGGCTAGCTCAGACAACAGGCCTTCCTGAAACCCCCCGGGGACGACCCCCAGCACCTCCATTCGCCCTGCTGGGATGGCTTTGCTGCCCAGGCCGGTAACGTGTCACACAACGGGGACCCCATCTGTGCCTGCCCCCCCTCCGCCTCCCCTTGACACCGGCACCTTCCCCTCCGGCCTCACACGGGCTCCACACGCCCTCCTCTCCTCACACCGCCGCCATGGACGGAGCTCCTTACCCGGGCCCACCCACACACACGGTACCGGCAGCCCCCGGGCGCTGCCAGCAGCGGCGGAGCGGCGCTGACTGAGGCGGCCCCAGCGCGGGGTGAGGCCGCCGAACCCCCGAAGCCCTCCGCTGTGCGCTTACAACAGCGGCAATGGCGGCTCCCACCCCACGGCTCCGCCCCGGCGAGCAGCCGGGCTGAGGGAAGGGCCTTGAGGGCAGCGGGTGGGGCCGGCGCGGTGAGGGCGGGGCCGCCACCTCCCTCCTGTGAGCCCCTGAGGAGGGCAGGGCCTGAGGGGGTACGTGGTTAAAAGGGGTCATGCTGCTATGTACTTGATATAGAAACACAGAATAGTTAGGGTTGGAAAGGACCTTAAGATCATCAAGTTCCAATGCCCTGCTATGGGCAGGGACACCTCGCACTAAACCAGGGCACCCAAGGCTCTGTCCAACCTGGCCTTGAGCACCACCAGGGATGGAGCATTCACAACCTCCCTGGGCAACCCATTCCAGTGCCTCACCACCCTCACAGTAAAGAACTTCTTCCTTAGATCCAATCTAAACTTCCCCTGTTTAAGTTTTAACCCATTACCCCTTGTCCTGTCACTACAGTCCCTAATGAAGAGTCCCTCCCCAGCATCCCTATATGCCCCCTTCAGATACTGGAAGGCTGCTATGAGGTCTCCACGCAGCCTTCTCTTCTCCAGGCTGAACAGCCCCAACTTTCTCAGCCTATCTCCATACAGGAGGTGCTCCAGCCCCTGATCATCCTCGTGGCCTCCTCTGGACTTGTTCCAACAGTTCCATGTCCTTTTTATGTTGAGGACACCAGAACTGCACACAATGCTCCAGGTGAGGTCTCACGAGAGCAGAGTAGAGGGGCAGGATCACCTCCTTCGACCTGCTGGTCACGCTCCTTTTGATGCAGCCCAGGATACGGTTGCTTTCTGGGCTGCAAGCGCACACTGAACCCGGCTCATGTTCATTTTCTCATCGACCAACACCCCCAAGTCCTTCTCCGCAGGGCTGCTCTGAATCTCTTCTCTGCCCAGCCTGTACCTGTGTATCTTTTATGTTGGAAGCACGGTCAGATGCAGCCAGGACAGGCCAGGGGCCAGTGTGGGTAATGCAAAGCCCTGCGTTGTCTTAGGGTGCTTGTTGTAGCATGGCCGCTGCCTTGAGTGCGGGCCCGATGTGGAAATAAGGTACAAGAGGTTTGTCTTTCAAGGTGTGAAATCTAGCTGTACCTTGAGGTGCGGTTTTAATAGGTTACCTCGTAATAAAAGCAGCTCTTCTCTACGCTGTGGTGTTGGTTTGATGCTGCTGGTTCAGGTTAGCTGTAACACCACCTTTTTTCTTACAGTGAAATCATTCTTTTCATCAAGAAAAGCTTATTCTTCAGTTCTAGGATGCACAGTGTGCTGCCTGGCATGCAACCTGTTGCCTGTCAGTTGCAGAGGCGCTTTATCCTCATAAGCACCTCGTGCTGCATTTGGACTCACTTCCCAAGGTCTCAGTTTGGCTGGGGTCTTCAGGACCCTTTTCTCGGGTGTGATTGAACACAGCACATAGTGTTAGCAGCTCAAGTGATCTCTTCCCTCTTGAGAGGACTCTGCGCTGCAACTAAACCTGTAACATAAAGAAAGCCTGGCCAGCATAATGAGGTAGATCCACAGTATTGCAGAGGAGCAGATAAATACATTGGTACAGAGGAGTGTAAAGCAAAGTGGAACAAACAGGTCAGATTCAGTTGTTCCCTGCTTTCTGCAGAGCAGACTGTGTGGTGCTGGCCCTTTTCATTTCATCTAGCTTGCTACAAGAAATTAAAGTCATTCTGTAGCTTGCTACAGAAATTAAAGTCATTTACACATGCTAACCACTTCTGTTACGTTTTCCATCCATACAAATTATGGTGGTGATCAGGGATGTGTGCAACTGCAAATGGAAGGGGCAATTACCCATGCTGCAGGAAGTGGGAGTCAGCTGAATAGCAATGAGACCCAGGCTGTCAACATGATGGAGGGAGGAAAATTAAATTAAGAAAGTGGATGCCATTTAGATCAGCAAACTCTGCATTGTGTACTAAACCTCTCCAGCCCGAAGAATCACCTTTCATTGATTGCTCTGTGTTGTGTGTTCCTTCCTAGGAAAGCAATGTTGTGAACAAGCTAGCAAGCACCCAAGCTGGGTAAGATCAGTGTCAAGAAGAATCTCAGAGGCAGGCTGACAATTTTCATGTTCTGGGTTATAAATGATGGTGAAATACGGTTGGGAGAAACATCAGCTTTTATTTAAAGTTCTAATCAAGGTAGTAATACAGAGTAACTGAGATCCTCGCAGTTTCCACTAAATACCTCCCTGGCAGCTTGATGCTCTCCTTTGTTTTTATGGATATTAGATTATTACTGACCTGGTTGGTCTTTGAATTTTTTTCCTAGAGGTTAAAGGTTTTGTAGTTTCATGTGGTCCTTTTTAAAATTCATAATTTCAGAGCATGGAAAATGCATTGTTCTATCAAGTTCATTTCTCTGACATTTATTCAGTGGAGGATGTGATCCTAATATTAAAAGCTTTTGATTTGAAGCCCAGGGTACAGCTAATTCTTTTCATTGGTCTGCCTTAAACCATCATTTCATTATGGTGGTTCCCCATGCTGGTGGATAGGAAATTAATATGTTGAACAGCATAATTATTTGAACCAGTATTTGTTTTTAAAGGATTTGTGGGTGATAACAGATGGTTCAACCCAGTTGTGTCAAAAGGCATTAAGATTTCTGTCTGGTAATGTCATGGAGTTGGTCCTGTATAAAGCCATAAATAACACTATGTGAGAAGCAGCAACAGGCTTTTACTTCAAGTCATCTCTTTATCATATAATACATTAAATTTAAACACAATTGTTGAATTCCTTTGTGTGGGTAAACTCTTTTTGATGTCTCCTTCTATTAAAGTTGTAATATCCCTTTTAACCAGAGGGCCGCATAAGAACTCGTATTTGCTAGGTATGTTTCTCAAATAATCATAATCTCATGAATGCTGCCAGCAGAACTAATTGGACTGACACAATGAGGTTCAGGAGCCAGCTGGAGGACTATGGCGTGAGGCCACTGGAATTCAGTGTATTCTGATGGTGGAGAAAATGAATGTGACTCATTAGATTGTCATTAGATGCTCATAAGCATTATTCTATATGGAAAGGCAGGTGGCTTGAGGTGGGTTGTTTTGAACTCTGGAAATATGAAGGACAAATGCAAGAACTCATACAATAGAGGTTTTCTTTATCAGTGCTTCATTGAAAGTACCAGCAAGTAGCACCTCAGAGCCATGAATTATTGCTGTGAGAGGATAGTTTGGAAACATTACAAAGGAAACACTCGAGGGCATTCAGCATCTCAGGAAGTTGTTCAGGGCTTGCCAGATTTAAGATGGTCATTTCAGTTTCCATTAATTCACATCTCTGATTAGGAAATGGATTTATCTTTGCTTCTAGTTGCTGGAGACTGGCTGGTGTCCATGGCAGGACAGAAGTGTGCATACAGATTAAATGTTGAAAGGGTCCACTGATTTTCAGCAAGGAAAAATGCAGACCTGTACTTGTAGATATCTGTTGTTAATTATGTTTTGGTTAGTAGCAGGAAACCACAATTAGCTGCATTTTCACAAGGCTCCAAGGTGGAGAAAAGAGGACTAGAAATCCTTTGTGGGAAAAAGGTAAACTGTCTCTTACTGTGTTGCCCTATGTCTCAGTAGCATCTCTGCAGGCAGGTACACTTTCACCTTGGTCAGGCTTGGTAACCACCCTTGGGAGAAATATCCAGTGAAGATCCTGGTTGTGAAGACTGTAACAAGTGTCTTTTTATACCAATCTTTGTGTTGCTCCTGTGGGTTACTGGAGAGCATTGTACACCTTCCCCAGTGTAACCTGAGGAGAGGGTGTCCTTAGGATGAAGCAAAGCAGAAATCACCGCTTGTGGTTGTAAGGGCACCACAGCTGCATTTCCAAGGCTGGTGATGACCTCAGTGCGCAGGCTGGATTAGCGTAACTATGCTCTGCCTTCCTGATTTTGCTTTGGGCTTTCAGCTGGATGAATATTCTTGCTTGCTGTGGGTCCTGACATGGTGGTAAATAGCAAACATCTACCTTGACATGTTTGGGTGTGTTTCAGTACAAACTGTAGATGTAGATTGCAGATATCGTTGTGAGTCCTTTCCAAGTTGGGTACTTGTGCGTTATTCCTCAGTGCTTCTGAGTAGTAATGCATTCCCATAGATAGGCACGTTGTTTGGGGTTTTTTTCCTGCACATAACATTAATTCACATGAAAAAAGAAAACTTAGAAACCCATAGAGTAAATGTTCAATATTTTCTTCATTTTTTTCTCTCCTTTTACTATTTTTGCTTAACGATTACCCTGTGGACTATCCGGATGAATTCCCAGTGAGTTGCCGTGGGAAGAGCTTTCAAAGGGAAAGGCAAAGTCAGATACTTTCAACAGATCGATATTAGACTTATTAATCATTTTCCTTCAGTAATAGGTTTGCTCTTTTGGGAATTTGCTTCAGACTGATGAGTTGTTTTGACAGTTCAGAAAACGCCTTAATTTAGAAATTGCAGCTTTTCTTGTTGCTGCTCTGTTTAACCCATCATAGATCCATCTGTTGTAAACACACAGTATTTATTCATTCCTTAGCTAGTTTCTGTGATATCAATTTTGTGGTATTGAAGTGTCCTACACATGCTGTAAGTCATATTAGCAAGGCTCTTTTTGCTCTTCTAATTCTTTATTGGTGGAATACCATTTCTACTGCAGAAGGTGAACTAGTTTGTTCAGAGGACACTGCTTTGAGGTCTTTATAATCTCCTCTGAAGGCAGGCTTAATTCTGAGGAATCTTGTCCTGGAAGAAGGAACATCAGTGTTGTTCTGAGCATTTCCTCACTGGTGAGGAGGTGAGTTGTTTCAGGTGGTTGTGTTTTTGAAGGAAGAACTTCTAACTTCATTTTCTGGCAGTGTTTGATAACGCAGAAAGTGGACACAAATCTGAAGTTT